GTAATATTCGCTCTAGCTCATTAAATTTTTAATTTTGTGCAGATTTTACACGTAATATTCGCTCTAGCTCATTAAGTTTCTAGTAATATTCGCTCTAGCTCATTAAATTTCTAATTTTTTGTAGCTGTTTGCAAATAATGCAGCAGATAACAAGTTGGAGTTGGGTTATGAAACATTTATGTTTATATTTATTTTGGTTTGGTTTGGATGTGTTATGTTGGAATATTTCTGAGTTCGGGCATATATATATATATATATATATATATATATATATATATATGCCCGAACTCAGAAATATTCCAACATAACACATCCAAACCAAACCAAAATAAATATAAACATAAATGTTTCATAACCCAACTCCAACTTGTTATCTGCTGCATTATTTGCAAACAGCTACAAAAAATTAGAAATTTAATGAGCTAGAGCGAATATTACTAGAAACTTAATGAGCTAGAGCGAATATTACGTGTAAAATCTGCACAAAATTAAAAATTTAATGAGCTAGAGCGAATATTACGTGCAAAATCTGCACACATGAATTACTCTGAGGCATCATAAAATATCATCAAATCCTCACTCACCATTTTTTGTTGGACAGAGAGAAATCAAACAGACAACTGTGTCTTGGAAATGAGAACACCATCAGTATCTGCATAAAGCCATTCTCCATCATGTATGATGGTGCCCCAAACATTAACCGGAACATGCTTTTCGCCGTGGCCCTTCTTGCTGGATTTCAAGGGATTGGAACCCAAAGCTCGAACGCCTAGATCGCAGGCGTTGATCTCGTCGACGTCTCTTATGCAGCCGTTGACGATAATCCCGGCCCAGCCCATGTTCTGAGCCAGCTGACCTAGGTTCCCTCCAACCAGGGCGCACCGCCGGCTCTCCCCGCCGTCCACCACCAGAACTCTGCCGTCGCCGGGAGTCTCCAGCATGTCTCTCACCAGAACATTGTCCTCGAAAACCTTGAGCGTGACGATGGGGCCGGAAAATGCTCTGCATTGTCCGTAAATCTGGAAGATCGGTTGCAGAACACGAACGTCGCCGTTCGTCACCAGGGCGTGGTTCGCGTCGCATATTTCAGATGTTGCTGGGTTTGCCATCTGTAATCTACCCAAGCAAAACGGTTCAGTACTCAATTCTTGAGCATTTGCATACCTAGATTTGTGAACACATCATTGGAAGTTCAATTTGTTTTTGTTAAGTATTAAGCTTGTGAAATCACATGTGCTCAGGTCAGATAAATTATCATACTGGTGTTTCTCAGTTTTATAAATACTGAAGCAAATGAACAAGCAAATAATGTTAGAGACTACTGATTTAGATGTTTAGTATAAATACAAAGTGTTGAATTTGTGCTCTAATCATAAAAAGAACTTAAGGCACACAGATGAAGGCCTCGACCAATCAATCTAATTTACTTGTGACCCTCGGATAGCAAAGAACTCAATATGCATGGATCAATGTCCTATACTGGTATATGACTCTTGAATTGTAACCCCTAAAGGATCGTCAACTCTTATTTATTTTTCTTTCTTTTTTGGTTTTATTCCTAATTAAAATGCTTATGAGAGATGTATATATATCTCCACTTTTGTACAAGCAAAAATAAAATCACTTTTGAGTTTTTTCCAATACTTATTTTCTTCATATTATCAGAGTGTTCCTGCTTCTATTCCTAGCCTCTAAGGTTAGGGTTTCCACTTTTAACCTTTATTCTTATTTTGTAAGGTTAGAATATTAACTTTCAACCTTTGTTCTTCTCAAAGGTTAGGGTTTCCACCAAACTTTGTTCTTATGTTTTTTATTATTCTCTAAGGTTTAGGGGTTTTACTTGCAACCTTTATTATTATTCTCTAAGATTAAGGTTTTCATTTCCAATCTTATGCTTCTTGTCGAATTCTCCTTCCATTCACTATGTCGAGGTTCTTTGACTTCCCTTCAAAAGAAGCGACTATGATTAATGCTAAAAATCAAGCTAAAAGAAAACTTCAGATAATTCAAGCATCTTATCATTTGAATGAGAAAATTAACTTAAATGGTCTCAAAACACGAGGACTTTTCTAAATGGAAAGAAATATCCAACACATTGTGGATTTGAGAAGAAAGAAACTAATTTCATGAACTTGGAATGGTTGTGGAACACATTGCTACCAAAAATTAATAGGCCTTTTATGTTTCTCTCTTAAAAAAAATATATTATGGACCTAAATAAAGAAACCAAGATGACAGAGGACAAGATGTGTAAAACTCCAACTTTACCAAGACAAAAATTAGACTTTGATGAAAGAACTATCATGCCTTGGTCTGAAGCTTTGAATTAATTAAGACAAAAACAGATAGTTGGACGATGGGAGATTAATTTTCGATATTCATTCTCTATAAAAAAATATTTCACAAATAAACGAGTCACTAATCAATTTAATTAAAGTAGTATATTTAAATTATAACTCGATATGAGTTGTTGTCTGTGTCTTTTATAAATATTTTTTTGTCTATCATTTATCTTATAAGTACTTAAATTAATCTGAAAATTTAGTTATTAATAAATATGAGCTAAAGAAAGTCTGTGAATACGATTTCCGTCAGCTACAAGAATACAATGAAAAATTAAAAAAAAAAAAAAATATGCGCTACAAGAATACAATGAAAAATTAAAAAAAAAAAATATGTTGGTTAATTTTTTTAATAAATCAAAATAATTCAAAGGGACATATCATATCAATATCATTTTATATTTATACAATCGTCACATGATCGCCGTATAAAAGTACTAATTAAGGTACTTCAATATCAATATCTCTTTCTATATACATGCACAGGTGCTTTAGTGTTCCCTACTAGTATAATCAAAGTGTGACACCAACATAGTCAATTATATAAACATATAAGCAACCAAAAAAAAATCACTTTCTAATAAAAGAATATTTATTTCTCATTTGCATAGCAGTCAAATCATTCAATAATGATATGTTCACATATCATTCTTATAATATGAACTCAATAATGATATGTTCACATATCATTCTTATAATATGAACTCAATAATGATATGTTCACATATCATTCTTATAATATGAACAAACATATTCACTAGAATTTAAAATCCTGAATTCATAATAATTTCAATATAATTAATAATTGTACTAGTGAATGAATTTTATTTAAAAGAAACAAAATATTGCTATAGAATAAGCGCATAAGTACTCATCTCGATTTCGATTAAATTATTTTGCCTTAACGTTGACTCCTCTAAAATTGAACCCTTAAAATAAACATGGTATTATTTTGCCCGGACTCGGCTAACCCGCTCGAAGCTTGACGATGTTGCGATAGCGTCTATATTTATTATGTTATTTCATGCTTATTTTTCTCTTCAATAATATACACACACAGACACATATTAGTATTATTAAAATAATAAAATTATTATTATTATTATTACTATTATTATTATTATTATTGTTAGATCAAAAAACATTATCTTGGCCAGCCCTAACCACGCGACTTCGTCTTCCTCCCCTCTGTGCAAACTGAATTGCATAAGGACCCTTCCACAGAGTCGTGACTCCAGGCTGACTTTGTCTACTTCCTCCTTTGCGTCGAACACAGCTAGCCTGTTTAAAGCTCGATGACATTGCGAGAGTATCTCAACTCCAGGCTCTCTGCCTTCAGCGACGCCTCAACCCATTCTGTCATCACTATATATAAGGATTTGTTGGTTCCAATTTAATGGATCGCTGAAATTGAAAGAAAATGAGACTGAAAGAAAATGAGACTAGACTTTTGAGAATTCTCTTTGTATTATTTTGAAAGAGAAAATGATACAAGTTTGGAGTGTGTGTCTTACATTGCAGCACAACACTCAATTTATACTAACCAATGCATACTGAAAAAAAAAACGTACACAATAAATGTAAAGAGAATTGTAGGCACTAAGTGTCATCAATTCACGTCTATTTTAAGACATATATTTCTTCCACTAATTGTGCAATCCATTCATGTTTATTATAAGACCACTAATTGAGCAATCAATTCATGTCCCACTAATTGTGTAATCAATTCAATTGACCAATTCAAGATTAGTCTCACAATCTCCCCCGTAATCTTGATTTGGTTCGAAGTTGTTTACGCCAAGCAGCTCTCGCATTTTCGCGAATTTGACTATTGCTAGAGCCTTGGTGAGAATATCCGCACGTTGCTCTCTGGTGCTTATGAATTCCACGATGATCTGTTGATTCTCGACACACTCGCGAATAAAGTGAAAGCGAGTGTCGATGTGCTTGTTGCATCCATGAAACACCGGGTTCTTTATCAATGCTATTGCAGATTTGTTGTCGACGTAGAGAGTTACTGGTTTTGGCTCTCTTCTGGTCACTTCGCTCAACAAACTTCTCAGTCATAATGCTTGGCATGATGCAGCAGTGGTTGTCATGAACTCTGCCTCACAGGATGATAGAGCAACGGTTCGCTGCTTCTGAGATTGCCAAGTGATTAGCTCCCCGTTAAGATAAAACGTCATCCCTCTGGTGCTTTTCATGCCGTCTATATCACCGGCGTATCACCGGCGAGATCACTGTCAGTAAAACCGACGAGTTCTTCAGCTCCTTGTCCTCTTTTGTAATGAATCCCGCAGCTCATTGTTCCCTTCACGTAACGGAGAATATGTTTCACCGCCTGCTGGTGTAAATTGAGGTAGGCTGCTCCATGTAACGACTCACCATGTCAACTGCGTATGAGATATCGGGTCGAGTATGGGTCTTGTACTTGAGACACCTGGTGACACACCTATACTTGGTGGGATTCACAAGGATTCCTTCCGCATCCTTTCCGAGCTGCAACTTTGCTTCCATTGGATACTTGCTCAGGTTGCAGTCTACCACCTCGAACTGCTCCAACACCTTCTTTGCGTAAGCCGATTGCTTCACTGTGATGTGGTCTTTCTTTTGGTCTACCTCGATACCGAGGTAGTATGAGAGCAGCCCAAGATCACTCATCTCGAACTCCTTCATCATTTGCTTCTTGCTGTTCACGAACAAAGAGTCTTTTTAACAACCCTAATCATGTAGCCATAGGACAATAATGTTTTGAGCAAGATTTAAAAAATTATTATTTATATTAAAACATCATTTTAATCTAATTTAATAATTTTTATTCTATTTTCTCAATCAAAATTTTAATTGAGTTGTAGTCAATTAGATTTTTTTAAAATACTACTTAATATATATATATATAAACTTAATGAGTAGTATTTCAAGCCAAAACGAGCCGAACACGAACGAACACATCTTAGTTCGTGTTCAGCTTGTTAACTTATAGAACGAAATTAACAAGTCGAACACGAGCTTCTTAAAGAGCCGACAACAAGTT